CAGCCAGCCAAGGACGAGAGCGCGCAGGCACTTGCCTGCTCGGGAGCCCGAAGCGCGGCGGCGGCGGCGAAGGGTCGGCTGAAAGAGCCGGGCGGGGGGCGCGCTTGCGGGGTCTCAAAGCCCATAGATTTCGGGAGGGAGGGAGGCAGTGTTCCCTCTAAGCTGAGTTAGTGTGAGCCGGCTCACAGGTTTTTAGCCTCCGGCTCACCCATTTTGGTCTTAGCCCAGGAAGGGAGGGCTCCAGAGCACACTGATTTCTGCAGCAGCCAAATTGTGCACTCACCACTTTAATTGGCAGCGGCTCACCAAGTAGGATTTTTGCTCACAAGACTCCACCGCTTAGAGGGAACATTGGAGGGAGGGCGGCCTCTCTGCTCCGGGCTTTCCTGGCTGGCTTGGGAAAGAACCACGGGAACGGGGATATAACCCAGTTGCTGGGCCGAGAAGCAAATCCGGCCGAGGCCGGCCCGCCCGGCAGGCCACTGGTGGCACGGGCTTGAAAGCAAAGGAAAAGCACTCTGCGCATGTTCAGAGTCTTCTCATTTCTTTAAATCCTTTTTTATTGTTGCAGAGCGGAGACCTGCCATTCAAAACAGGGCTCCTGGAGGGATTCATAGAATCACAGGATCCACACAGGGTTGGAACAGGGGCCAGAGAGGCCCTCTAGTCCAGCCCGCCTGCTCAAGGCGGGATCAGCCTAGAGGCAGCGGTGTCGAACTCAGTTGTTATGAGGGCTGGACCTGACATAAACCCGGGCCATGTGGATCATAAAACGTAATGCCAAGGAGCGGAGATATCAACTTTATCAAGGACACAAACACAAAGGTTTTTTTTTTTTAACTTAGAATAAAAACATGCTTAAAACATCAGCACTCTTACCTTGGAATCCAACCAATGCTGGAAGTGTAAAGCGAATATAGGGACGTTTTACCATATGTGGTAGAAATGTAGTAAAATACAAGGTTATTGGGAAATGGTGCGGAAGATAATTCAAGAAATTCTACATAAAAACACAGCACTAAAATCAGAAATATATTTGTTAAATATATTCCCAGATGGATATAATGTGCAAGAATCGTATTCATTATCTTATATAATAACGGCCGCTCGATTACTTTTGGCTAAAAATTGGAAATCTGAGATAATACCCACTAGGGAAGAACTAACTTTGCAAATACTGGAATTAGCACAAATGGATAGTTTGAGTTTGACACTACAAAACAAAAATGAAATGAGCCCGCGTAGCGGGGAGGGCGGGGTACAAATTGAATAAAATAAATAAATAAATAAAAGGTACATGAGAAGAGATGGTTAAAGGTGTACAAATGGTTAGAATATTTGTTAAATGGTTAAAATTTCATACAAAAACATCAGCACTCTTGCAATATTTTGTTTATTTAACAGTCTCTGATAACTGACATCTCTTGCTCTGAATTATTGCCTCAAAATGTCTGTGCTGTTGCAATCTTGAGTATGCTGTTCCGGTATCTGTAAGGTGCAAACCTACAGAACTGGAAGAGGAAGCAGAAGACAGCCGGTTCCACTGAGGGCCTGATAGAAGGGGGGGGGGAGAACCTCATCCGGCCCCCGGGCCGCATATTTGACACCCCACACCTAGAGCATCCCTGATAAGTGCTCGTCCAGCTGCTTGATAAATTCAGGATGCTGTAAGAGAAAATGGAAAGGGTGGACCAGCCGGAGTGCTCTTTCATTTGGGGGGATGCGAGAATCACATACATGCTCCTAGCCACGTTTCATGGGGGCACAGTTGCCAACCTCCAGGTGGTGGCTGGAGATCCCCTAGGGTAACAAGTGATCTCTGGGCGACAGGGCTCAGTTCCCCGGGAGAAAATGACTGATTTGGAAGGTGGTGTTGGGGGAGGCCAGGTCTCTCCTTTCCTCAAACCCCAGCCTCCAGGAATCTCCCAACCTGGAGTTGGCAGCTTTAAAGGGAGGGGAACACCGTCACTTTGACACTGGGTTTGGGGGGGGGGAGTTCCTATGCCCCTCGCAGCTCTATCGTTCTCTGCCTAGGAACAAGCTAATCGCTTTGCTTATCTATAATCCACCTTTCTGGTTGGGGCTCAAGGCGGATTACCGAATACAAGGACAATAAAACGGTATCAAACGTACAACAGGGGACGCGATCTGACTAGATTGCAAGCGAACAAAACCGCGCAAGTAAAATCAAGATAATCATACAACATACGGTGCAACGAACTTCATTCCGATTTCTTTTCCAAAAGCGCCCTCGCAGAATGAGAGGAAGCGAGGCGCCTCCTGGTCCTGGGGAGGGAGGGGGACCGAACAGAGAATGCGGACACAGCCCCCCCCCCTCAGCGTGGCAAGACTTTATGGCTCTCCTGGTTTTTCTGGGAGAACGGAGCGGGAAGGGTCTTTTGCAGGAAGCAGGGAGAGAAGTACCCCCGCCCCCGGGGGGGGGGGGGGAGGCACCACAGCCTTGCAGGCGTGTTCTGCAGACGCCCGCCTGGGTTGCTCTCCCCCTTCTGGCCAATGGCGGAAAACACTTCGCAAGCAAGCTTCCGACTTGCACAGAACTCTTCCTCCTCCTGCGGGGTGGGTTGGGGGGACCGCGAGGGAACAATGGTATTAGGCTGCTGCTGATGGGCATACAGCAGGGGGTCACTGGGGGAGTCTGTGCGTGTGTGGGGGGGGGAGCTGTGAATTTTCTGCACTGTGCAGCGGGCTGGACTAGATGACCCTTGGGGTGCCTTCCAGCTCTTTGTTTGCCAATGAAGACAAATATTTAAGTTGTTGTTGTTGTTGTTGTTATCATTATTATTATTAGATATATAATAGACTCTCCCTTTGTACTTTGATATATTATGTATTTGTTAAAAGTTACAGCGAGTTTGTAAAAGTGGCGAAAATATGTAATACTGAATATGTAGTAATGAAGAAACCAATAATGTAGCTGCAAAACAGATTAGTTATGGAATCTGAAATCTAAAATGCTGAATAGTTAAATTTTAAGTACCTTTGTATTTTATAGACAGTTTTTTAAAAAAAAAACTATAATGGGGGGAGTTGGGGAGAAATATTTTCTGTTTTATACACTTTGGTGTATGTAATTATCTCTGATATACACAATTATGTTATGACTTTTTTCTTTTCTGTATCCCATTTATACTATCACTTTGTTTTATCTATCTATCCATCCAGGGGTTATTTTGTAGAAAAAGAGGTGCAGGAGCTCATTAGCATAACTTATTAGCATAACTCATTTGCATATGCGACATCCCCTGATCACTGGAAGTGTGTCAGAAGGCAACACCCACCGCTCAGGCTCCACTGGACTGTTTTGGATTGCTAGCTATTGGGAGGGGTGACACACAGATCTGCCCTCACAGAGGAGGGAGAGCTTGTATCTGAAGGCTGGCCGGGTGGGGGGGTTCTGCAACTTACCTGGCTGCTTCTTGCTCCTCATGGCCCGACTGAGGGCTGCTGGGAGCAGGGGGCGGGGCTTGTTGCATGTGCCCGCCCCCTGGTCTCCTTACTGCTGGAGCTTCGCTCCTGTGTGCTCCCGCAGGAAATTACCTCTGTATCTATCGATCGATCTATCGATCATCTATCTATCGTTATTGTCAGGTTCCTGGTTGAATCAGTTCTCAACGCCAGCCAGTTGATAGAAAACTAACTTTGAGACAGTTGATGATACCATCCTGGACACATCTAAAAGTGAACGCACGATGGTTACAGATATAGTGTGTTCAAACAAAAGCAATAAAGATCAATAACCAATCACCCCACAGCATTTACCCGCCAGAACTAACGGTCAATGACACCCCCGCTAGGCACGTAGCCTCTACGTAACAAGAACACAGAATAATTTGAGAGGCTGGGACATTTGCCGCCACTTAGGTAACAAGCCCTGAATACATCAAAGGGAGCCCCCTCCCCCAATGGCAGGTGAGTTGCAAAATTCACAGAGAGCCTGACAGTTATTAAGGCACACGTCCTTAAGCCCTTGATGGTAACATTCAAATTGACCCTGAGTCAGCTGGGCTGAGGCAAGGAGTGGAGAGCACATGGTGGGTTGCTGATAGAAGGTAGGGGATTTTTCTTTCTCCCTTTGCCTTCCTAGCTGCTGTGTGGGAGCTGAGAGAGTTGGGTTCTTCGTAGTCTGATAGAGATGGCAAACCTAAACAGCATGATAAAAAGTAGAGACATCACCCTGCCAACAAACGTCCGCATGGTCAAAGCAATGGTATTCCCAGTAGTCATGTATGGCTGCGAGAGTTGGACTATAAGGAAGGCCGAGCGCCGAAGAATAGATTCTTTTGAACTATGGTGCTGGAGAAGACTCTTGAGAGTCCCTTGGACTGCAAGAAGATCAAATCAGTCAATCCTAAAAGAAATCAACCCTGACTGTTCCCTGGAAGGCCAGATAATGAAACTGAAGCTCAAATATAATGAGAAGGGAGCACTCACTGGAGAAGAAGGCCCTGATGTTGGGAAAGACTGAAGGTCAAAGAAGACGGGGACGGCAAAGGATGAGATGGTTGGACAGTGTCATGGATGTAATGAACATG